CTAGGGCAGCGGTAATGTATGTTATGTCAAATCTCGTGCAGTCTGGCAGATATCGGAGATCTCCAACCACTTCCCTATACAGTTTCGAGCTTGTGATTTCTGGTTTGTCGTCTGCAGGCGGATCAAGATTAATTCCTGATATGTACGGGTATTTCCTGGTGTTTTCGTTACTCATTTTCAAACGTTCAGCGATCTTGGTGATGTAGGCAGGTTGTGAGACATGTATTCCCTTATCTGTAAAGGAGAAATGCCAGTTCAAGTAGGATTTTGGCCGTCCGAGTCGCTTGACGTTGTATTTCTTGGAGAGGGTGTTGTGGAGGTCGTCAATGAGGTTATGCCTTGTTGCTGCCACTAAAAAGTCGTCCATGGACACTACTACTAAGGTGTAGTCTGCGCCTTTGGTACGGATGAACAGGGAGACATCTGACTGGAGTTGGCGATAACCATTATCCTTGAGATACCGGTGTAAGGCTGCAGAGAATATGTAACCTGCAGTGGGCGTGCCATATATATTGCCTTGCAGTTGCCCAACTAGGTGCAGGTGGCTCAGAGAGCCGTCAAATTTGCGTGGTTGCCAGACGTATACTGGCTTGTCGTGATTATATGATTCGTGAAGGTATGCACATTTGATATCGAAGTGCTCGACATGCAGCCTGTGGGCGGCGGTGATGGCTATGAGCAGGCGGACCGTGGCTTTGTCTGCCATCAAGCTTGCTGTTTTAGTTGGATCGAAGTGTACGTTTGGCAGCATTCGGTCCCCCCTGATTGAGCAACGAGCTTTCCGTGTAGCTCCGTTTGACGAGGTTTTGTATCCGTATGTCCAGGTAGTGGGGATTATCAAGTGTCGTGGTGGTAGTTCTGATTGTGGCGCCCATCTTATGGCCTTTGTCGCGTCAAGCTGCTCTAGTTCGCTGTCGTGGGCTACTTGCCATAAGTTGGCGTCTGGTTATTTCCTTGCTTGGGCGGTAGAGCGGGGTGGCAGTGTGTTGCTTGTGATTGTCTCAGGTACATTGCGTTGGGAAGAGGGCTTTTTGCGGGTTGACCGTTTTTGTTCGGAGAGCTGGTGAACCGTTGGCGTTGCTGTGTGGAAGGCTATGGTGGAGTGTCGGCACGGATCCAATCTGTGGGCATACGGCGAGAAGTTGACAGTGCGGGCGGTTTGGTATTTGTGATTTCGGAGATTGTATATGCGAATGTGATTTTCGTCGATTCCGTGCATGTAACGAACAGGTTCAGCCCTAGTTTGCAGCTTCTTTTTGATCGGGATGAGTGAGGGTATGGAGCCAAGTTGTCCGAACGCTAGTATTTCACTCATGACCGGGGGGCGCCGGTGCCACAGTGTATGGGGAAGGTTGCCGAAGCCGGTGTGGTAGGTCGGGTTATATTTGAAGGCTGCGTCGCGTAGCGCGTCTGCCCAGAAGCTGTCGTCTAGGCGGCTATGCTGAAGTGCTGCATGGGCGTGGCGCATTAGTGTTTGCTTAATCCTTTCTGCAATGGAATTCTCTTGGGGTGTGTAGGCGGTGGATGGGGTAAGGTCGATACCTCGTTGGTGATGATAGTTTTGCGCTTGTTTGGATATGTATTCTGCGGCGTTGTCGCATCTGAACAGGCTTGGGTATCGGCCTGTGATATTTTTGATGCGTTCGATGTGGTGCATTACCTGGGTTAGGACTTCTTTGCGCGAAGTGAGCAGGGCAAGGAAGAGGTACCGCGTTGCTGTGTCGATGAAAGTGATTGCGTAGCGGTAGTGGTGGATGCGTGACGGTGGTGAGACTGGTCCGAGCACATCAGAAGATACACGTTCTCCTGTCCTGGCTATATGATTCGCTAGGCGGTGTGGGGCGGGTTTGAGCTTAGCTGTGTGGCAGGCGCTGCAGGTGATTTTTGGTGGTTTCTGGCTAATGCTTTCTGGTAGTATAGGCAGTAGCTGTTTTCTCGCCATCAGTACCATTGTTTTGGGTTGTATATGCCCAAGTTTGATGTGCCAGTCGTGGAATGTTTTGGTCGCGGCTGTTGTGGTGTCAGGGGGTGTGTCTGGTGGGACTTGTCGGAGTGATGTGCAAGGGGGCTTCAGGGTTCTTCTTCGAGCGTTGAGGTGGCGGGGTGCGGCGAGTGTTGCTGGATGCTCCGGTGCCGAGTTGCATGGTGGTTTTGGGGTGTTGTTTGATCGGGTGTGCGGAGCTGGTATGGTTCGTGCCGCAAATGCATGCATATGGGCCTGGATGCGTGGGCGTGGGGGGGCTTGGACAGATGTTGTGGTGATTGCTTTGTTTAATTCATAATTGCCGTGGCGGTACCGAGCTGTTGCGGTGATCTGGTTGCTGTTTTCCTTGGTGTGCACGAAGGCGGTTGAAGGGAAAAAGATTACTTTTCCATATTTTGAGGCCAGATTGTGCACGGAAACGAGATTGGCCCGTATGGTTGGAGCATGTACCGCGTTGGGGATACGTAGAATGAGTTTAGTGCTCATCTGTAGGGCGATCTGTCCTTTGTGCGTGATTTTGTGGGGGCGTCCGTCAGCGGTGCTCGTTTGGAGAGGTGTGGTGATGGGAGTCATGGTGCTGTGCGGTGCGTTGGTGTACGATGGGTTGGCTGCAGAGTCGAGAATGTATGACTTACCGTTGTGCATGGCCGAATCGTTGGCTGTGTCCATGGCTTGTTCCAGAGTGGAAAGGCGCAGGGAGAGTTCCTGCAACAGAGGGTTGGTTTCGGCTTGTTCTTGGACTTGGCGCGCGCGGAAGTGGGTTTGTCGCCGTTAGGGTCCGCTTCTTTGATGATACTTTACGCGGCACGCATGCGTGTCGTGGGTGGTGGATGCGTGGTACATACACCATTTACCATTCCAGCCGTGCGGTTTGGGGCAATTCTTGTCGCTGGGCGGGGTTTGGCGTTGCTGTATGCGCCTGTCATCACCATAGCTGGGTCCACTCCAGGGGCGGGCCATAGATTGAACGGGCGGTAGTGTGGGTCCGTTGTCCTCTAGTAGAAGTGCTTGTCGGATGTAATTTGAGAATGTTTGTATGCTGGACGGTGGGTTGCCGGTTAGTATGATGGCGAGGTTTGTGAAGTCGGGGTGCTTGCGAAGGCATTGTATCATGAACTTGACAGTTGCGCGTTCGTCGCTGATTTGTCGGTAGGAGGCGTTTATCATTTTGGTCCGCACAGCCCCGTGCTGAGTGACAAACTCATCGAGGTTGGATCCAGGCAGAAACAGAATCGACCGGGCTTCCGCTTCTAGAACATCATGGTTTTGCATATTGTTTGTTGATACGTGGGATTCGATAGTGGCGCATATGCCATGGGGTGTGGTTTCGAGAAAGTTGTGCGGTAGTTTCGTAACAATTTCATCTGGGAGGCTTTGGATGATCAGGGCTTTGAGTTTGTTTACTTTCTGGTTGTAAGTTGAGGCAGTGGCAGGGTCGACCGGTGTGAGTAGTACCGGGGAGACAAGGATTGTGTCGGCGTCGTGCAGAGAGGCGTTGATCTTTAGCGAGGACTTCCAAAAATGGAAGTTGTTGTACGAGAGCTGGGGTAGTTTGGGGCTGTCGGAGTTGGACATCTTGGCTTGAATGTTTGTGTCGTTGGTGGTGAAGTGATTTTGTTCTTGAAGTTCGCAGTTGCGTAATAGGTCGTTGATATGTTCTTGGATGTCTTGCTGCTCTTGGCGGCGGCGGAAGCGCTCAAGGCGCGTAGTTGGTTGGTTGGATGCGATAGTGCGTGTTTTGCGCAGGTTGTTACTGCGATAGAGGGACCATAACCTGAGAAAGACTCTTGTGACCCCCTCCTCTCCAGGTGGTCTTCAAGGTGTTTACTCTCTATCTATGTCTCTTCTGGCTGGAGGCGCCGTTGCTACTGTAATGCGGCGTGTCACGCGTGCTCACGTTCGACGCTGCTCGACGCACTTGAATACTGCTAGCGCTCGTCATCTTCCTTCTACGCCTCTTCGCCGAACTTATAAAGGAGTAAAATGCCCGCGGCATGCGACCATCAAAAAAAGAGCCAGCTCGAGGGATGCGGCCGGCACAGATCAAACTGTGTCTATGTAGCCGCAGTCGTTTGACACGTGTATACGTGGAAAAGAATACGTGTACATGCACTCGCGGATGATGATCATGACCCATGCACGCGCGGGCGGTGAACATAATGATCCAGTTCATCGAGTACGAGCAGCGTCTCCAGCCTCACGGCATGGACGGCCATGCCTGATGAAGGTACTGCAGGCGTCCACTTTGGCTCGTCGTTCATGCGGACAAACGGCACGGCCGCGCTGAGGCCGTGGCGCCACAATAGCAGGAGGTTGGTCGCGGTGAGGTCTAGGAACAGGGTCTGTCCTGTCAAACCAGTGCTTTTGTGCCCAGAAAGGGATGACCCCAGGCGGAAGAGTAACAATAGTAACTCGACGGCCTCCGTTCTTAGTTTGAATCTTGGCCACTGACTGCGGAAGAATCAAAACTCGACAGTTGGGTACACCCTCTCTCGCAACCCCGCAATAACATGCAAGCAACACATCCTGTAGAAATGCTCTGTTGAACGGAGGATTCCCAGCCCCACCGACGATGCTCCTCTCCATGTCGAACCAGAACCTGATAGATCCGAACAGAACGTCTCCGGCATCGGCACTGGAAAAAGCGTTCATTGCTCCGGATTCATTTATCCCATCTGCAAATAGCTCGACGTTAGTACCGGTAGCAATTCGAACCATCGCGTAGAAGCTCCAATGCACTGTATACGCATTCGAATCGTCTTTACAAACTCGCAGCTTGCTCTGCAGGAACGGTTTCACGGCACTAGCAAAGTCCTTGGTCACAGCTTGCGCCTCCGTTGATCGACAATACCGCCAGCGCAGCCGATGCAGTATGCTCACTGGAAGGCATCCACGTCGCCTCGGACCAACTCCAACATCATTTATATATACTTCAACGTGCAAAACCATCCGTAAGGGCTTGCCGTGTGGCCGTACAACTTCGATCTTCAGACCAGAGAATTCTGCACTCGTATCGTCAGAAAAATGTCTCATGCGCTACTCTCCGCGACCACGCCGTTGACATGTCCTCAGAAGGAGTCCATTCTTCCGCCATACCGAGTCTGAGAGCGTGTGCGAGGAGGCGTTGCTGTACCTTCCATGCTGCATGGATCTGCAGACCGTCCAGACTCTGTTCCATTTCCGAGGAGTGGAACTATGGGATGGCATTACAGTAAAAACTACAGCAATGTGCTTCCGATTTCAGTGAAGAACTCAATAAAAACGGGGCGAGGGAAAGGAAGACGAGAGGAAAGTCCTTTGTTAGGACTGGCCCTGAGGGCCAGTGAGGAAAGAATTCTATGGCACTTCTCTCCTACAGTAAAGGGTTTCCGTATGAATCGATC